ATGAGTTACTGTGGGAGCATGCATGAATTGGCAAACACGATTAACTGCATAAGAAATCTCTGGCCGAGTGATAGTAACATATTGCAAGGCACCAACAATGCTGCGGTAGAGATGAGGATCATCCATCGGGTCTCCTGAGGCCGAGAGGCGTGAACCTGGTTCGGCAGGGGAGAGAATAGATCGGGCATCCTGCATTTTGCTGCGAATAAGCAGTTCGGTGATGTACTTCTGCTGGCTCAAAAAGATAGATGAAGTGGATCGATGTAATTCAATGCCAAGAAAGTAATGCAAGTCACCCAAGTCACGTAAAGTAAATGTAGCATTGAGACTATTGACAAAGGCATCAATCTCAGAAGAATTGGAACCAGTGATGACCAAGTCATCTACATAAACTAAAACATAGAGAGTGGTACCATTATGGCGTCGAATGTAAAGTGATGTATCCGATGTGCAGGGTCGGAAATGATGATGAGAGAGATACTGACGAAGCTTATGGAACCAGGCGCGAGGGGCCTGCTTGAGACCATATAATGCCTTGCGCAAGAGACACACATGCCCAGGACGAGATTGATCCACAAAGCCAGGAGGTTGAGCCATATACACTGTTTCACTGAGATTCCCATTAAGAAAAGCATTGGCAATGTCAACCTATCGTAACTTCCAACCAAAAGTGAGAGCAAGAGATAATACTATACGAATTGTGGTGGGTTTTACCACCGGACTAAAAGTGTCAGAGTAGTCAACTCCTTCTTCCTGATTAAAGCCCTTTGCAACCAATCGAGCTTTGTAGCGCTCAATCGTGCCATCAGCGTGCTTTTTGACCCTGTACACCCACTTACAACCAACAATGTTAGAATTACGAGGAGGTAAGATAAGATCCCAAGTCCCATTTTTTATTAGAGCATCGTACTCAACCTGCATTGCATGTTGCCATTCAGGATATTTGGAGGCCTGAGAAAAAGTGTTGGGTTCAATAGGAATAGATGCGGGTATAGTAAGAGGATGTTTGGTAGACAAATGAGTCTTGGGTTTGAGGTTGTTCGTTTTTGAGCGGGTGACCATAGAATGAGTTGAAGTGTCAACAGGTCTAAAATAAGTGGGAATAGAATGAGGAGGGATACCTGAGTTTTGCTTGGGACCTGACGGAGACGGAGGGGCATCACTGGAGCATGGAGACGGACTGCCCGCGGGTAGAGTAAATGGTTCCCTGTCGGACAGTGGAGGGGAGGCAGTGGTTTGATGGTTGGGTGATGGGGAGGCATTAGTGACAGGGCTGGTGGGAGGTGGAGGCGGGTGGTAGTTATCGGCCAGTGGGGTTGAGGCTGCCAGTCGCAGCGGCTGTAGAGAGGGGAGGGAGGAGGGTGGAGCAGCAGTGGGGGGTGGATGGTGGATGTGAAGTTGGTACGGAAAGGACGTCTCATCAAACACAACATGGCGGACAATATAGATACGGTTTGTAGGAACATGAAGACACTGATAACCCCGGTGTTGTGAACTATAACCAATAAAAATACAGGGGGAAGAGCGAAACTCAAGTTTTGAGTTATTATATGGACGTAAAAGAGGATAGCAAAGACACCCAAAGGATTTTAAAAAGGAGTAGTCGGGTGGTTTGCCATATAAACATTCAAAGGGGGATTTGTCTTTTAAAAGCGGGGTTAACGTGCGATTATGCAAATACACACTTGTGTGAAAAGCATGTTCCCAAAATGATTGAGGCATATTAGCATGAGCGAGTAGGGCCAAGCCTTTTTCAACGATAGTCCGGTGGCGACGCTCTGCTGCCCCATTTTGGGATTGAGTGTGAGGACAGGAAACACGGTGAGTAATACCTTGCGTTTGTAAATATGAGGAAATAGATCTATATTCACCACCCCAATCAGATTGAAATTGTTTGATTTTAGTATTAAATTGAGTGGCAATCATAACTTGAAAATATTGAAAAATAGAAAGAACTTGAGATTTTTGGTGTAAAAAGAAAATCCAAACAAATTTTGTGCAATCATCAACAAAAATAACAAAATATTTACTTCCATTAAAAGAGGTTATGGGAGCAGGTCCCCACACATCAGAATATATTAAATCAAAGGGATGTAAACTAGATGAATGTAAACGTTGTAGGGGAAGTCTATGACTTTTCCCTAATTGACAAGGTTCACAAATTTTATGTAATTTATGACTAGAAACAGGTAAATTAAAACGAGAGACTAAACGACGTAAAGATGACTCGTGGGGATGTCCAAAGCGATGATGCCATGTTTGAAGAGACGCCTTTTCACCAAGATAAATGCGAGGAGAAATGGGCTTGTCCAAAGGTTGTTGGAGATGATATAGTCCGTTCTCAACGCGTCCTGTGAGCAACGTCCGTCCCTGGAGGTCCTTAACAAAACAACAAGTGGGATAAAAGACCATATAAACATTGTTATCACGGGTTAGTTGAGAAACACTAAGTAAATTTTTTTTGATGTGAGGAACAAAGAGAATGTTATTAAGATGAATGGGAGCATGCGATGCTTGTAAAGTCGAATGTCCTAAATGAGTTATGGGCAGAGACATACCATTACCAACTTGTAATCCTTCATTGCCAGAGTAATTAGAGTGAACAGAAAGATTACCAAAGTCTGCTGTGACATGATTCGTTGCACCGGAATCAAAACACCAAGGATCAATTATAGTGGAAGGAGGATTTTGAACAGTGTAGGCATGCCGGGCAGGAGGTGACAGAAAATTGGCAGGAGGAGAAGTCTGTGAAAGATAGGCCGTAGGCGTGGTTGACTGTGAGGAGCCGCGACTGGAGCCCGATCGCTGCAGCTGTCCACGACGGTGCTGACCGCGCCTGGGCTGCTGCCTTGGTTTTGTTTCAGGGAAGGAGTCAAAATTCGCCCGATGCCAGCAGTTAATGGCTTCATGTCCTGGTTTTTGGCAGATTTGACAGATAAGGCGAGCACCAGTTTCAGAAGTAGACCCACGAGCAGAGGAAGTAGTACTTCCCGACGTGGTTGCTGCAAGGGCAGTGGCCGTTAATGGAGCCAGTTTTTCAGAGTTGAGTCGCTCCTCTTCACGCAACAAGAGGCCGAGAAGATCGCTGGAGGTAATAACATCAGTGTGCAAATTGAAGGCACTGCGGAAAGCAGAATAAGAGGCATCGAGACCGTGAAGAATGCTTTCAACAAATTCATCGTCAGGAACAATATAGTCACATTCTGCCAGGGCATCCGAAAAGGAACGCTTCTTCTCGACATACTCAAGAATGGATAGGTCACCTTTGGGAAATTGTTGAAGCTGAGTCTTGAGATGCATACGTCTTGCCCGATTTTGTGAATAAAACATTCTGGACAGAATGTCCCATGCTTCATGGGTGGTTGTGGCACGAACAACATGGGCTAGCAGCGGCATAGTCAGCGTGGATCGAATCCACAACAAAATGAGACGATCTTTCTTCCTCCAAGAAAGATATGCAGGATTGACATCCTGGGAAGGTGTAGAAGGCGTGGCCGAGGGAAGAAGCTGTGATGGCATGGAGGCAGAACACAGAAAATCATCAAGCTCAAAAGCTTCAAGAGCCGAGCGAATTGTTTGACGCCATAGCATGTAGTTGGAGCGATCAAGAAGAATATTGATTTTGGGTAGATTAATAGAAAGGGGTGCCGTGGAGCCGGATGCAAGGGAAAGAGGATGGCCGGAGTTCGCATCACGTTGCTCGTCACGGATGGAGGAATCCTCATCGGAGTCAGACATGAGAGCAGCGGCGGAAGGTTAGAGAACCTAGGCTGATACCATGTGAATAATTAAATAATAATTGGGTTTGTAACCTTAAGTTTATTTCTTAATGAAAGAGTATTTATATACAAGATGTTAGGGTTCCCTAAGGAGTCTCCTTAAGGCCCAATAAATAATAAACTCCTTAAACACGTATTTAATAATTATTTTTGATTACATAAAATAATATCCTTAATAAGGTGGAAAGTCCATGTGGGCAATAACCCAGGGAACTTGTTGTCTAGCTGCTAAAAGTTAAAATTGGGTGTTTTTTAATAGTTGGAGGGGTTGATTGGGTGTTTTGATAGTTCGGGGGTTTAATTGACTTTTTGGCTATACTACAGGGGCTTATTTGACATTTTTCCCAAAATAGTTCAATCCAGCCATTGAACCGGATTTTTGACTTGTAATAGCATATTGTTTATATTAAATAATTTTAAACAGTTGTTAACATTCGAACAAATATAAATATAATCTCTGAACAATTTAAGAATGTTAAACTCTATATTTTGGCGATTTTGGACTTTTATATCCTACAATCTTTTAAAAAAGTTTTTAGATTTAAAATTAATAATTTTTACATATTCCCTGTTTTCCTTTTTTTTATTTATTTTTAATTTTTAGCGTTTTAAAATATTGTTACTACATTATTTTTTCAAGCTTATATGAATTTTTATAAAATTTATTAATTTTGTTAATTTATTTTTAAAAAATTACCTGCTATAACATGTTAAATTGGCTGGAGCAACTATGTTTTCAAATTCTACTCCATTTCCAGTTTCAACAAAAAAAAGTTAAACAAAAAAAGGCTAAAGGGTCAAATAGGCCCTTGAACTAACTTAAAGTGTTCAATTAGCCCCTTATATAGGAGGTTCAGCCCGACCATCGCCAATCGGGGAGGTTCCCGGTTGAATTTTCTGATGAAATTTTTTGAGCATCTTCTTCATTAAGCCTAGTTTATTCGTATCAAATTTCAGCTAAAAAATAAACCGGGAAGGCAGCCAAATAATTTTCCGAAATGTACTGCGTTGTTTAATTGCGCAGTTATCTTCAAAAATCATTTGACTGCTTTTCCGGTTGAACTTTTAGCTGAAATTTGGTATGGAGAAACTAGACTTAATGAAGAAGATGCTGAAAAAATTTCATCAAAAAATTCCACCGGGAATCGCCTCAATTGGCGACGCCGGGCAGAATCTCCTATATAAGAGGCCAATTGAACCCTACCTATTTGACCCTAGCCAAAAAAAATAAAGCTGCAGGCCGCATAGACCTTATCTCGGAGGAGTCGGAGCCCACCGTGCCTCATCCGTATTGCTCGTCACTGTTCCGGCCAAAACTTCAGCGGTCCTTCTTCTCTAGCTTGCTCTTTTTTTTCTGTCTGTTTGCACTAGCGCTTATTAGCATGCGTGAGGTTTTGATTCTTTGAACTCGAATTACAACCATTAGTTAGTTCGTTCTTAATTGTTTTGGTTGAAAATGGAGATAATAGTGCCTACGAAGCAAACCCACGATTTTTTTTGCTCAAATTGCTGTAATCATGAAGGAAGTTTTAGAGCTCACTCCTTCGAGGTCAAAGGTCGATGTGTTACTATCCGTTTTACAAATTTGCTTTCAAGTTCTCTTAGTGGACTGAAAAAACTGGAACGTAATTCAAAACTTCGGCTAGACAAGGTCTTTGCTTTATCAAGTACTGAAATTATAACGACCAATAACAGTAGTAATAACCTTGAGAGCAATTACCACCTTAGGAAGCTGGTGTGTGATGGTAAATTGGGGGAAGGTTTTAGACACCTTTTGACCATGATTGGCCGAGGCGAAATCCCGGATGTGCATATGCTTGAGAAGTTGGTTAGGGGTTTTTGTGGAAATGGGCAGACTAAGATGGCCACTAGTGTAATGAAGATTTTAGAGGGTTCAGGGGTGGATCCTGATGTCATCACCTACCAGGCCTTGATTGTTGCACATTGTAAGGCGGGTGAGTTTCATGACGCCTTGAATATCTTGAAGAAAATGACTGTTTCTCCTGATATTGTCACATACAACAAGATCCTCAGACCTTTATGCCGGAATGGAAGACTTAAACAGGCTATGGAGGTTCTTGATTTGCAGCTAAAGTGGAAGTGTTACCCTGATGTATACACTTATACCATTCTGATTGAGGCAATGTGCAAGGGTAGTGATGTCCAGCGGGCGATGAAGTTATTTGATGATATGAGGAGTATGGGATGTAGGCCGAATGAAGTGACGTGTAACATTCTGATTAATGCAATTTGCAAGAGCGGGCATTTGGACAAAGCGATTGAGTTTTTGAATGAGATGCCATCATATGGGGTCCATCCAAATGTGATCACTCTCAACACTATTTTACGTAGCTTGTGTACCACCGATAGGTGGGAGGAAGCTGAGAGGCTGTTTGGAGAGATGGCTAGGAAAAAGAACATTTCTCCGAGTGTCGTCACCTTTAACATCCTTATCAATTTCTTGTGCCGGAAGGGCATTTTGGGAAGAGCGATTGACCTGTTGGAGAAAATGCCAATGCACGGTTGTACTCCCAATTCATTGAGTTACAATCCAATAGTTTATGCTCTTTGTAAGGAGAAAAAGATGGACAGAGCCATTGAGTATCTAGAAGTGATGGTTTCCCAGGGGTGTTACCCTGATATCGTGACCTATAACACACTACTCAATGCCCTTTGCAAAGATGGGAAGGTTGATTTGGCAATTGAAATCTTTGACCAACTGAGCACGAAACATGAATGTTCTCCTGTGCTTCAAACTTACAATGTGATTATATATGGGCTAGCAAAGGTGGGCAAAACGAAGAGGGTCATAGAGCTGTTAGATGAGATGATGAAAAAGGGTTTCAAACCCAATTTGATTACCTACACTGCGCTCATCTGGGGGCTTAGTAGGGAAGGGAATGTATATAAAGCCATCGAGTTGTTTCGTGACTTGGGAGGGTTGGGTGTCGTACCTAATTCTATCACTTACAATGGTGTAATATTTGGACTTTGCAAAATTCGCCAAACAGACCGTGCAATTGACTTCTTGGCTGATATGGTGTCAAGGGGATGTCAACCGACTGAAACTACTTACATTATTCTCATTAAAGGTCTAACGAATGAAGGGTTTGGGAAGGAAGCTTCGGAATTGATGAATGAGTTGTGCACAATAGGAGTTGTAAAAAAGGGGCCTACTGAACAGGTAAATCAAAATAGTGCTAATACTACGTTTTGAATGGACATTGTGTTATATTTTCAAGACGAAAAATATGTTTACTATGAGTTGTAAAATAAACAACCACTTCTTGGCCTTTGTTTTATTTTCAAAGTAAAGCCTAATATACTTCGTAATAAAATAGCTTTCCTCGGACATTTCTGTATTCTCCCAGCAAGAGATCCATACCTAAAAAAAGGATAAAAAACTTCAAAAGAATATTACGGAGTATTTGATTAAGAGACATAAAAAGGGGGGAAATGGAACAAAAATATTATTTGATTTGATGAGCCTCATAAACTGGAATATTTTAAGTTACATTGTTAAGTGACAAATGGAAAGTTTATGAAGAATTACAATCCCTGCTACCCTGACGTGGAACTTGACAAATGCAATACAATTTTATGAAGTGACATGCAATACAATTTTATGAAGTGACAAATGCAATAAAGTAAGAACACATTTTCTGGAAAAATATACCCCTGTGAACAGAAAAGCTTAAAACATCCTAAGAAACAATAGGCAATGAGATCATACAATATCGCATCCAGTTTTTGTTTCTGGTTTTACACTTTTTAATGTTAAAAAGGTTGTATAAGGAATTTAAAATCAGTTATACTTTTTTTTTTTTTGGTAATCAAAATCAGTTATACTTGTTTAAAGTAGCTATTTATTAATTTTGAAATGTCAATAAAATATTAGCCCATATCTCTTGTCAACGTAAATTTCTTTTTAGTTTTTAAAAGAAAAAAAGATAGCATATACACAATGAGGCCAAAATTGATGGATTTGATTCTTACAGGGAAGGTGTTTTTTTATGTGCAGAAACCAATTAGAATGACAAGGAATGAGGGATAGAATGAGAGGTCAAGCCACCATAGACAGCACCTACATTTCCTAACGTAGTGATCAAAACATATTCCTTCATGCTTAAAGGCCCAGGGTTCAACACAAACTCGAAATCAAGCGCCCTCACGTAGATCCTCCTCTTTGGCATCTTCTTAGCCATGAGGACCCCCGCCGGGTACGCCACAGCCATTGCAACCACCATTGACATCACACTTTCCGCCGTTTCTTCCAGATAATATTTGTTTGCGATTATTAAGAAGATGCACGACAATGATCCCAACACGAATACGCGAAACGTCCACACAGCCTCATCATCATCCCCAGAGAACTTTTCCTTTGATGATGAAGCATCTTCTTCTTTCTCCGGTGCCGGTGATGAAGTCTCTGCTTCTTGTGATAGGATTGGATGTGTGGATCTTGATGCACCTCTTCGTTCTAACCCACACGTTTGTGATTTCATTGTTTTTTCTTTTTGGGGAAATGCTTATTACTGATCTGAGGCAAATTTGGATCATATGAGACATTCTTTTTTGGTGTACTGCTAGCCACAACTTGGTAGGATTACAAATTATTTTAATTTGGTACAAGTGTTAATAACAAATTAACATTGTTTTTCAAGACTTCCTAATTTAAAATAACATTGTCATAAACTAATTGTCATTAAAAGTGTCTTTTCGTAGCATGTCTATTAATTTACAATGCAAAAGAATAAAATGGATTCTATTGTGATAAATTGTTTTCAAATAAATTTCAATACAGATATTTTACATACAAATTGATTTCTTTTTACAGCCTTAGAGGCTATACCCACCTTACATGCTATGCAAACTTGAAGCTAAAATGTAGGACAACCATCAATAGATATGCCTTTGGCAGTGGGGCAAGTGGCAAGATCACAATGCTCAGGGTCAGTGGTCCCCCACCATGTCACACTTCTATTCTCCAACCCAACGACGAAGTACAGAAAGACTGCCATGAAAGCAACGCCGGCATCTAACGCTGCTGACAGGATATAGTTATACCTCTGCCACCACTTCTTCCGGTACCTAAAAACGAAGAAGTTGAAGACGGTCCCCACCAGAATCCAAGAGGTGTAGTTTAAGGAAGACGCGGGAGGCATGCTATGGGTGGCTCCAAAAAGAACAGGGAGGTTGATGAAGGTGATCCAGGACTGGGAAGGGAATGCCTTGTGTAAAGCCCATACTATAATGGGACCCATTAGCCCGCCCAGAAAGAACCAGTTAAGGGCGGAGTAGTTCCCGAGCGACCCGAATATCCTCTTTGGCCCAACGAGTCCCCAGATGACTGAAGCATCAAAGAAGACGTGGTCACCCGGGCAGGTCCATGGGCTGTTTGAGAACTTGGTCTGGTGGCATATGTTGTCAACTGAGTGCAAGAGCCACCATGCAACAATCATATTTGTTGTTCCAGCAATGATGGTTCCAATGAACTAATAATTTTTTTGAAACATCAATACAAAGTAGACAACATATTATATATAACATGGTTTGGTTTTAAATATTAACAAAGATTTACTTTCAAAACATGATATATAAATGATGCAAAAAGAAAGTGCTGTTTATCAAAATTTATGATCATGCAAATTAAGTAACTTTACTCACATGCTTCATCCATTCAAACAGTTGACAGCTATAAAGTTACTCAACGACATCCAAACTGCTATACATTCATAAAATAAGAAATGTGAACTCACATATGTTGTACCGAGTATAAGATATCAAAATTTCAAATTTCGAAAGAGAAATCGCTATTAAGTCTATATCATTATTACTCATGTAATTCTATTCACTTGCATGTGATGCCTTAGAACCAATAAATTTGCTCATATCAAGAATTCTTCCAATAGAATTTGTACACATTAAGCACATCGGTATTTCCACATTACAACAAAAAACTTAATATTAACAAACCTATTAGTAACAGGACGCTATCTGAGTAAAGCTAACAAATTCATATGTAGTATTTAGTAATGAACAAAAACACAAATAGAGACAAAATTAGTAAACTTTCCAAATTTGATATGATGTCATCAATTAAAGGACATTTGATCATTTAGGACTAGAGTTATTATGCATGATCTACAGCCCATTTATTCAACACACTTGTACATCAATTATTTCTACTCAACACATATGTAGTATATGATTTTGTCTATGTGAGTGATAACTTATAGAATCATCTTCACAAATAGTTCTCTCTCTCTAAAAAAGATGCAAAACTCACAAACAGATTCTTGTATGTGTAAACAAAAGCTCAGTATACAATTATACAAATTGGTAATATATGTATACAGGTGAGTTTATATTACAGTTTACCCTACTTGGTTAATGAATTCTTTTGAGTGTTACCTGAACCAAAAACATTGATCTAGGAGGGATCTTCATATAATGACCCAGCTTGAAATCACTGAGGAAGGATACAGCTTGAGACATGCTCATGTAACCGTACGTCTTGAAGCACACATTAGCTATAGGTTTTCCAGGATATATTATCCCCATTATGTATTCTGTAATTATATTTAGTCCCGGTGTCTGTCATCAAGGAAAATTTAAATAAATCAATATATATATATATATATATATATATATATATGTTAGATTAACATATTTACTCTGTTTCTATCAAAGAAGTATATGGTTACCATGTTTGTGGTGGCTGTAATGATACTAATGGGGAGGGTAAACACGAAAGCAATAGCAGCTGCAAAGAGAAGTCCCCAGTAAGGCATCTGAACCTCATCTTTCAAGAAGATGCATAGTGCAAGTGACACCGTCATCGTCACTAAAAGAAGTATGTAAAACCACCAAGAAGGTATGTCTTTGTAGTTTCGCATCAATCTCGTATGTATATCCACTTTTCCCTTTGTAGATGCTCTATATCGTTCATATATTTCTCTGCCCACACACAAAGAATAAGGATTCCATAATCGCATATCCAAAGTAAATTTTAGGCCAAATTGAAAGAAATACTTCATTCGTTTACTTTTACTTGCTCAAGTCTTTAGCGCAAAATGTAAAGTTAAGGTGTAGTGCGGGACCACATTATGCGTATGTTTGGCACAACTAGATGATAAAATACTTTTTTGAGCTTTTCAATGACTTAGCTTTTAGTGACTGAAAAAATCTTGAAAGAAAGAGGTTGGTATGCATATATTAGAAGTTAAGAAAATTCACCTTCCATAAAAGATGGCTACATGAGATAGTGTGGATGCAATAGTGGCAAATCCAAATCCATAGGCCAAAGAAAACATGGTACTTAAATGGATTCTTCCTTGCTTAGCATATTGAGCCTCATCAAGCTCAAACTTATTATTAACAATAGCTGATATATTATACTGTTGACCTTGTGCAGTAAACAAGTCAGATGAGATAATGGAGAAGTTCTTGGCATTATAAACATTAAATCCCCAATAAAATAAGGGAATCACAATGTACATCACACATGTGTACCCAACAAAGATGTTGGCAATGGCAAAGAATGGACTTATGAGTGGGCTGGACAAAAATGAGGCTATTGTGGCCCAGTCTAATGTCAGGGCTCCTAGTCCAAGCCCGTTCATTCCAGACCCTATTTGTTGGGCGGTAACGGATTTGGGAAAGACCCAACATACCCATGATATGCTTTGCAGAGTCTGGAATAGGTAACCAGGGAAGAAGTACCATAAAAAACTGCAAGTGAGAGCAATCACAAAAAACTTTGCGCGTGACATGTACCGCTTGTCCTCTTCGTTTTCCTTTTCATGAAGTGTCCTATAAAGTAAAAGTCGCAAAAAACCCAACGTTACAAAAAATGATGTGGTTCATATGATTATTTGGAGAACATTTTTTACAAGGTAACTAGGTAAGTGTTTTGCATAGTTGTACTTGTAAATCACAGCTTAATTTTAGTATACTTCAAAGAGTTTGATCGGTTTTTCAAAATTAATATCACTCATAATAAGTCTATTCCAACCTGAAATGATAAGGAGAAATGCAGGAAAAAATTGGAAAAGTAATTGAGAGGGAAAGCAACACTCTTGTAGGGAACCCCTTCTCAAATGCTCTTTAAATGAGGATGGTTTATACTAGGTAGTTTTTTATTAGCATTAGGTGATCCCGAGTTAGACAAACTAATCATGGGTTCTCAAGAATCCAGCTTGAACTCTGATGTAAATATGTGTTACTCGAACAATCCCAATGATGCTTTGTAATTCGTACACAAGATGATTTTGTATTTGAAGATAATTTTGTACTTGTGTTAACTTTCTTGTTATAGTAGATGAGCATATATGGTGAACTGGTGAAGATAGGCCTTTGATATTCACTATAATATTATACGAAGTATTAGAGCATCTCCAATGCTACAATGTGCACGGTGCACATGTGACATTAGAGATAACCACAAAAGTACTTAGTAACTGGTAACACTGAAATCGACGAAATTGACTGAATCTGTTCAAAATGGTGAAATTTTGACTAAGGTCGATGAATTGGCTAGATATGCTGAATTATGAAAAAATTAAATTTTAAATATATATTATTAATGAAAGAAAATATTATATGAAGAATAGCTAAAATGATCTTTCATATTAACTCAACCAATTTAGTCAGAAAAGTAACTTCAATCTTATTTATTTTGATTGATACACAATTCAACACGTGAAATTAAAAGTTACAAATTTGATAAAAATAGTTAACGAATGACATTGATAAACAGAAAATCGGGATCACCAAACGCGGTCATAATTTGAAATATAGGGAATAACACATGCAATTCACATATAGCTATTTTTGAAGTACATGCATACCCTTAATAAGTTGAGAAGTTGAGTTTTTAGGGCTTTCTTTATTATTATTAATTAAAGCAAATTATAAATGAAATTATGGAAATGAACAAAAGTACAAAATACCTGAAGAGTGAGATTTGAACGAGGGTGCTGGGCCACCACATATGAGCTGGCTCCACTACGTATTTCCTGAGAAGTCCAGCCCATCCATATCCAAGCACCTACCAGACATAATCACATATTCACATATTCACATGTATCGCCCATCCTTAATCAAGCAGTATTTGCAACAACTTTAAAAAAATTAGCTTTTGAATATGGATGGTTAAATAAGGTCAATTGATCATTCAAAAAAAAAAACATAAGGTCAATCGAGTATACCAACCTATATAAGGTGGAGTAAAGAGTACACTATATTCATTTGATCTTTTAAAGTACACAAATTCGGGGGTTTACTGTTAATTGAGTACACTTGTTAGATTGGCTAACGGAATATTGAGTAAGAAGGGTTAATGGACCAAGGTTATGGCGCCTACCTTCACGAAGTTGACCAAAAAGAGAAAATCGACCTTCACAGGTCGACCTGCGCGCGCGCGGGGGGGGGGGGGGGGGGGGGACGACCTGCGGGGGACTGATGGCTGGTGTCGACCTTCAAGAAGTCGCCCTATTAGCATCCTATTATCCAACTCAACGGTATTAACGTGTTAATCTAACATGTATACTCAATTAACACTAAAACCCCGAATTTGTGTACTTAAAAAGATCAAATGTAATATAATGTATTCTTTACTCTAAGTCATATAAGTTAATGTACTCAATTGACCCTTACCTCATTAAACAACTATGATTATGTACAGGCTCCGGAATATGTCAGGGGTATGACGTTGACCAAGGTGAAGTCAATCAAGTGACTGGTGGCTGGTGTCGACCTTCAAGAAGTCGCCCTATTAGCATCCTATTACCCAACTCAGCGGTATTAACGTGTTAATCTAACAGACATACTCAATTAACACTAAAACCCCGAATTTGTGTACTTAAAAAGATCAAATGTAATATAATGTACTCTTTATTCTAAGTCATACAAGTTAATGTACTCAATTGACCCTTACCTCATTAAACAACTATGATTATGTACAGGCGCCGGAATATGTCAGGGGTATGATGTTGAACGATCTTATTGAGTAATGAAATTGTTTAGTTTATTATAAAAAAGTGATTGCTTTTAATTAAAGGTAGACAGATGCTTCTAACAACTTTTCACTTTCTCTATTACCAACTTTTCCAAAACCACTATAAAATACTCCCTCCGTCCCGCAATTAACTTCACACATATTAAGAAAATAAATTTGACTTTACTGTGGAGTGCACTGTTTAGAACTGTTTAAACAATGTTTGGACACTGCTTGACACTATTTGACACTGTTTGGATGTAGAAAAGTTGCCAAATAAGGAAAGTTTTGAAGTGTGAAGTTAATTTCGGAACTGCCCAAAAAGGAAATTGAGAAGTTGTTTACGGGACGGAGGGAGTATATCTTTTGGAAAGTAGAAACAATCCCAAACATTTCCTTAATCTTTTATGCACGAATAGGACTAACTTTATGAGAAATGGACTTAAATAGGACTATATCTAAACATAAATGCACAAAGAGGACTTAATGTTTTTTTATTCATATGACTAAACATTATCTTTTTATTCCTAATATAATTAATTAATCAATGACAGTCCGTTGGTGGCGGAGCAGTCCGGCGATGGAGGCAAAATGGCGGTGGCAGATTTCTGGAAAGCAACAGCCGGCGACAAGTGGTGGCAGGCTGCTGGGGGTCCAAACACTTGAAGGAACATTTTTTTCTAAATGCACATAATTACTCCTATTTAGAGAATTTAAAACAATAGCTCCTATTTTTTACATTTGACCCATGTTTGACTCTTATTTGGGGATTCACTCTAATTAATTTTTATCAACAATATTAACCATAATATTCACATCTAGATATGGTACTTAAACTTTGTCTTTATCAGTATTAACCATAAAGAGATACTCGAAATAAGGGTAAACTTTGGACAAAATTCTAAAATATGATTAAGTATGTTTTTCCTCCCAAAATGGGACTTATTACTCTGAATAAAAGAATGAAAATATAACAATCTAAAATATAAAATACTAGTAGTATAAAATATGAATGAGTTCTATTTAGAGGAAAAAAGATTGACACTCCTATTTGAGAAATCATATTTTGTTTTACTCCTGTATAGCAAATTTTCTCTGTTGAAAATGCGGGTGATAGAATGAAAGAGAAACAACAATTGTTTAACTTTATGTGTTTATCTCTCATTTCACGTATATTCAAAGATAATTTATTCCTTTTTTTGTTAGACTAAAATAAAATAGTTTAACTTGATAAATTATATTTTAGTTAAGTTTGAGTCTTTCTTCTTGAATATCAATAATAATATTTATTTCTATTTATAATAGAAATTATACTTTAGAAAAAAGGATTAAAAGGATAAAAACCAATTAATTATATTTGAAGATTTACAAACTTTAGGAAAAAGAATTAAAAGGATAAGAACCAATGAATTCTATTTGGAGATTTTATGGGGCAACTTCTATCTGTCCATTAGTCCATGGTATTGAATGTTGTGTTTGATAGCTTATAAATTTGTATTTACATCGTACACTTGTCACTGGTATAAATTCGAACTAACACAAATTCTTATTCTGTTCCTTTTAGATCTTACTTTATAGGTTTCAATTTTGTAGTCCGTGCGAATATAATACATTTTGTTATATGTGGTTGCAATTTTTTTTATTTTTTTTATTTTTCATGCCTGAAATTTGTTGTAATTTTTGTTCTAGTCAACCACCGATAATAACAACTCTGTTTAACTATAAAACAACCCCGGCCAATAGGCCAAAAATACTCCCTCGTCCCAAAGATTTCTTCTCAGTTTGACTTGACACATTTATTAAGAAAATGAAAATAAAGTGAAAATGTATTATAGTGGTTGAGTAAGAAAAAAAAAAGTAAATGAATGTTAGCCACAAAAAACTTTCCAAAAAGGGAAATGAGAAGAATTTTTGGAAACATCGCAAAATGATAAGTTAGAAGAATTTTTTGAGACGGAGGTAGTATTTAAATTTTTTTAAGAAGATTTTTAATATATATCTTAAACATGTGAATAATTAATTTGACATTGTTATAACTCTCATATTAGCCTTAAAAGATTTTTAAAATATCAAATTTAAAAGTTTCTAGAAGATTTATGCAATCGACAATAATATTTTTCTATATAGAATTGATTTCGGATTAAGAGATGGACTAAACAAAAAAAAGAGTCCATATTACAAAGATTTAAAAAAATGTTGCAGACCTAAAAAAAAAGATTGTCATATTTGCAGTGACTAAACCCGTATATAAACCTAGTAACTTAGCCATGTTAAGCGCTCGTGTAAGAAACCATATATTTTAAGCTCAAAAAATGAAAAAAAAAACTTTGCATTAACATGTTTTTTTATAAATTTAATAAAAATAGCATGTCTTCATGATATATGAATTCATTAGATCTCTAGTTTGAATAATATTTTATCGTAAATATTTAAAACTTTGAATTATTGCTATGAATTTCAACCTATCTACTTTTGAAAGCAAATTATATGATACATATACGGTGCACACGGTACAACCAGTTGAACGATGCACACGGTACATTCAAGTATTTTATATTAAAAGAAATGTGTATACCGTTTAAAAGAAACGAGTATTGACAACAAATTATAAAATAAGCACAATAGTTTTTTTGATGATAATACAATGACAATATAGTTAAATGAATAAGTTGATTTGTAGCACAAATAATATATATTGCGTGTAGATCAATAGATCATGATACTCAATTACATGTTTTTAATACTCAATTGTGCTACCAATAGAGTGATTTAATACTAATACTCATTTCTTCAAAACGTTATACTACTTGAACATAACATAAAATAGTCGGTTGTACGGTGAGCACTGTACAACCGTTTATAGTGCACGCTCTCAGTTTTGACTATGTTGTCTTTGTATGGCCATATGTGAACCAAAAATAAACTATTTTGAACTCTTAAATTAATACTACCTCGGTACGTACCTCCGTTTCTCGGACATCGGTATAAGAGGAAGTGGTGTGATTACCATGAAAATTGATTTTATATGATGCTAATGAATTTATAAAGTGAATGTAAAGTAAGAACGATTTAGAAATACACAAACTATACTAAATTTGATATGAGACAATCTTAGCGAGACGGATGAAGTATCTTGTTTGCATTTTAAAAATTCATAATTGTGTGACACGAATTGTAAAAGAAACGAAAGACAACAAACATTCATACTTAGGTTGTTTTCAATTTGAATTAATTATAGTCTTAGACCATACTAGGTTTAAACAACAAACATTCATACTTAGATTGTTTTCAATTTGAATTAATTATAGTCTTAGACCATACTAGGTTTAAACAGATCATATCATGGACCGCATCAGGTCGTATCGCGCATCTACCGTAGTGCGCATCGCAGCGGCCGCAATAGATACAATAACATTGCTCTCAATATCAACCGCAATTTAAAACCATGACCCGCCCATTGAGCACGTAAATAAATAAACACTACTATCTCCATCTCACTTTATGTGTCTTATTTTTGTTTGGCACAATTATTAATGATGTGGTTGAAACAGTTAAAATTGTAGTTGAAATTTTGATCATATATTCCTTTCCAAAAAAGAAAATATAACATTTATTTTAGGACAATTTAAAAGGGAAAGTAAGAGAGGAAGGAAATAAGACAATGCATTTCGAACATATTAGCACAAAGGTTATGAATAGTTTTTAGTTTATAAATGCTCGATTAATAGGTTCAAATCGGTTTTCCTTTCGATTGAAAAAAAACAACTAGATGCACGTCCCTGAGTCAACCAACTTCCTTTAAAATAATAACAAGCCCACTCATAGTCATGAGTAATCTGTACGGATATTGTAAAATAACCTTTTGATGTAAAATTTCTATAATGCACACCGTATTACATTGAAAATTGGTAGTGGAATATTACGGCGTCTCCAAAGTAATCATTAGGAATCCATTTGAGGGTTGGTAATTGAAAGCGGTGAAATTTAAGTCAATAATTTTAGGCCAATCAAAAGTTCCAGTCTGGTATCATGGGTTAACGGGATTCCAACCG